TCCATAAGAGAATATATATCCACTGTTCAAGGAGAGCATTAGAGAGACTGTGCACACCTTCCAACACAGTACAAGACATCACATGAAGGGAATTAATTGGTGGGATTAGAGCAAGAAGTAGTTAGTGAAATCTCTTAAGAGACTGAAAAGACACAGAGTTTGGGAATTAGTTAACACCTTTATTAGAGAAATCTTCTACTTTTTCTTTCAAATGTACTTTGCTTTTTAATTTTTCATTGTCATTTTTAGGGTACACTAGAAGAAATCATAAATTTTATATCTTTCGGTGGTGAGTGTCTGTTCTGAAGAAGCTACCATGTTTCATGTTTTTTGAACTAAAACTACTTAGAATAAAGAATTTAATAAGCTTATTTTATACAACATTTTTAACTTTAGTAAACATGCTGAATTTAATATCTACTAATGATGTTGGTTACAAATGAAAGGAAATTATTGAAAATTCCTTTGCATTAGAGAAAAATATCAGAATAAAAACATTTTGGTGTTCAATTACCTTATATTAACCAACATGAATTAAGCACATGTAAAAATTATCCATAGAGGTATTTCACTTACAAAAATCAGTTCTTAGCATTTCCTGTTGTTTTCCTTTTATAAAAACCAATGAAGTGTCAGGCACACCCACAGTGGGTCACTATGCCCTTGAATTTTATGATGATATCTCTTTTTTATTTTATTTTTATTATTTTATTTTATGACTAGAAAGTTTCTATATACTACCTGCTTTGATCTCAAATTTAGGAGTTCATATCATGTGTTGGTTTTTCTTTTTAAGATGATAATAATATCCATTTTATTAAATTTAAGAAACTTGTACCATGAACTCTACCAGTCACTCTTAATGATGAAATATAGTCATACAAAAGTTAACTAAGGTATAAACATGCAAAAGGAGAAGTCTCCCTGTGATCATAAAATGATGTTATTTTCTGTTCAGCAGTTCATATTACTGCTGTTCATGCTAATTAATTAAAGGAGCTGTTGCAGTAATGTGCAAACAGGGAATCTGAGAAACTGAGAGGGCTTTTAGGTCTCCAAGTGAAGTTAAGTCAATCTGGGCATGGGCAATCAAATGTAATGAAATCACTTGTCAGTGCTAAGCTTGCAAAAACTGTGAAGTTTGACTGGGGAGTAAAAGGATTATAATTAGATTTCCAATAGGATAATAACTAAATGGCAGAATGCAGTAAAGAGAAAATATTACTTTGTTAGCTAATGGTACTGCTGTTCAGTTTTGGTTTTTATCAGCTCACTTGTAGTTGTGCTAATTTAATTTGCTTTTATCAGCAAAAATGCACCACACAAATGCCACTTAAAGGTCATTTGCAAAAATCATTGATCTGAAGGTACACTTAATGACACTTGGTATGTTTATTTTATGTGAAGCAGAGATTGACTGATAAGATGGTTGATGTGCTGTCTTTCAGGTCCCCAGCTGAGTTAGAAGATTTTGAATTGGACCACATTTGGTCATATGCTCCTCTGAAAAATTCAGCTCCTGAGACTGTAGAGATAATCACCAGAGTGCATACTTTACTCATGGTTGACCACCTGAAAACCTTTAGGTGGTGGTATAATCATAGACTGCTGAAATATAAAATTCTGTTTATTGAGGTTATCTACGCATGTTATCCTTTTTGTCAAACAACATTCAAAGTGCATTAGAAATAAAATAAGCTGATGAGACTTATAAAACATATAATGATCATGAGTAGTTTGTCTTCATTCAAATTTATGTGGACACTATGGTAAAACTAGGTATGATTGCTTTGCTTCTAAGAGTGCCATGCAATATTTTATCAAGATCCTTTTATTTCTTCTTAAGAAGATGTCATGATGGAACTAATTGAATTTAAAAGCAGGAGCACTAGGTTAATGATAGATTTCTATCCAGCAGAGCTATCGACAATAGGAAGAGAAAGGACATCAATGAAGCCTGAACTGTTTCCTGTGATGCAGATGAGTTTTGGCAATGGCATTGTATTGGCACGAGTGAACTGATTCTCTCAAACAAAGAGAGGAAGTAATCTTCCAACTTACAAAAGTAAGACAGGAAGGTGAAAAATATGTAAACAGTTCAAGGTAAATAAAAAAGAAGCCATGGCATACAAAAACAAACCTATTAGCAAGAATAGAAAAATAATAGCTAAGCTTACATTTCATGTTTTACAGGCATTATAGAGTTTCTAAAGATTTTGAATGAAGATAAAATTAATCTTTCAATTATGAATATTAAAAATGATAGGCTAAATTATTAAGTGTCTTATGTAATTATTAAAGTTGATTTTGTGAACTATATTTATGATTAATTCTGATCATAATTTCAGATATCTATTCCTCTAAAAAAATCATTTATTTTTGCTGACAAAAATCTTTTGTTTATGGAGATAGGGTCTAACTATATAGTCCTGGCTCACCTGGGACTCACAATGATGAGCAGTCTGGCCTGGAAGTCACAGATAGCCACCTGCCTCTGCTTCATATACAGTAGAATTAAAGGTGTGTGCCACCATGCATGGTATAAAATTCTCTTTTTGATATGTTGTGATTCTAATATAATTTTAACATAAAATATTCACTTTAGTTTTTCATAAAGTAATGATGAGAGATTTAAATGTTGGACTAAAAAAGAGGAGAATGTATACTTTTCAATATTTACCACATTTATTGTGAATGATATTTGATGTAGTTTAAAAGTCTATATTATATCTAATGAGGAATTATTAAATTATTATATTTTATCATATATGTACAATGTTGACCACAGATACTAAGCAAACAATTTATTTTGGAAATGGTCAGTTTTTTTGTTTTAAAATAAACTACCACAATACTTAGAATATTGCATCTGATTCTGTTACTTTTAATAAACTAGTAAATATGTTCAGAGAAAGCCAATATAAAAATACACGCTTCTTTAAACATAAATTAGTGTGCAAAAGCTATTTAATGAATATGGGATGAATTTATTTTTACTTATGTGACTATTTTGATCACACTTGAATAAGGTAAAAGTTGTTTGTTATGTGAAAATAAAGTAAATTAATGACAACTCAAAATCTACATGTCTTGGAATAGGGAAAATATTATTTCTGTCATCTAAAGGCATCATAAAAATAAACTATAATGACTTGAAGATACAGGGATAAATCATGATGTAGGTAAAATCTACCAGTACTGTTTGGATTCTCCTTTCAGTCCAATACTAATCTTATGTACCATTCAAATTAGGGACACAATTAAACTTTGGGCTCCCTAAAGATTTTGTGTATATCTCTGTGTTACTGTTTCAGAAATGAGCAAATAAACACTTCATCCAATTCACTCCTATCAGGAACCTAATGTAGAACAGGAATCTCAGTCACCAGGTCCACAAGTAGTGGCTTTCTTTCTTTTTTCTTTCTTTCTTTCTTTCTTTCTTTCTTTCTTTCTTTCTTTCTTTCTTTCTTTCTTTCTTTCTTTCTTTCTTTCTTTCTTTCTTTCTTTCTTTCTTTTTCTTTCTCTCTCTTTCTTTCTCTCCTTCTCTCTTTCTCCCCTCCCTCCCTCTCTCCCTTCCTCCCCCCTCTCTCTTTCTCTCCCTCCCTCCCCACATCCCTCCCTTCTTTTTGGTTTTGCAAGACAGGATTTTTCTGTGTAGTGCTGGCTGTCCTGGAACTCACTCACTGTTGACCAAGTTGGCCTCAAACTCAGAGATCTACCTGCCTCTGCCTCCTGAGTGCTTGGATTAAATGCATGACCCACCTCCGTCAGGTTATGCACTTTCTTGATGAATTTAGCTGTGGTAAATGAACCGGCTAAACAGTTAATCCCATTTTATTTAACTCTGACAAAAGATAATGTGGCCTTTAAATTGTGTGAAGGAAGCAGGCCAGCAAAAATGACCTAAGAAACAGCCCAAACATCATTGAAAAAGCTAAGCACATGCATTTTTCACAGTTAATGAAATTAATGCATTTAGCTGTTCAAGTGCAGCAGAGTCAAGCATTATCAGAAGGTTCACGATATCTGATGCTTCTGGTTTTATAAAAATAATTTCAAAACTACAGAAATGTGGACTTCTAAATTTTCTGAAGCTGTCCAGTAGCATGCTCATATCTCCTGCTGTTGCCTTCACATAGACACAATCTGAAAGCAGAAAGGCTCCATGTGTTAACCCTTCAGTGAACAACATATTCATGTCTTCCTTTGCGTTGTAAAGTTAGAAAAATTATCCATTAGAGATGCATTTTTAGTATATTCAGGCTTTGTTTTAAACAGTAAGTGTGAATATAAATACAATCTATAGATGAATAAAGAACTAAAACTACATTAGTATTACACAGGAAAATTTCCACTGATTAAGTGTAAGTCTACTCTTTGGGGCCTATGCAGTCTGACAGAACTCTATATTGATGCCTTTTATCCACTTTATTATTGTTGAATATTCTAAAATATTGTGAAAGATATATGTACTTATGTAAATCATGCAAATTGGAAATTATAAATCATATTCTTATTTCTATATTTAGAAGATTTCTAAAATTTTCTATCAACATTTGAAGGTTAATAAAAATATCGTAGAAGACCTTCAAAATATCCATAGGTTGTGATTATTGTACTTGTGCCCTTTACAAAGACTAAAGCGGTGAAGTCTACAAGTCATATGTACAGTATGCTTGTGAAAAGTTTCTTACGTATTTAAACACTTTTAGAATGTGAATAACATGCAAATATATATCCTGTCAGTAACTAAACATGGAAGATCTTTGCTCACATTATAGCTATGAAATCCCTAAGTAATTGCACAGTTAGAAGTTTTAAAGTAATATCATATGCTTTTCTCCAATGAAGATCATTGTAGATTGCTTCTTAGGTCAGAGTATGAAGAGTTAACCTTATTTTACCCAGATGAAATCTATTAACATAGAAAAATTTCCCTACCCTGCCTCCATGGAGTACACATTATGTATTTATAGGAAGGAGAATGCTGTTTATTGTACCTTGCATGGCAGCACTGTCATGAGGAGTCCCATTATTTTCTATTTCAATATCTGGAATTCCAGTATCTGAAAGAATTGGCATTCAGGATTAAGGTACAATTCTTTGTTTTCTGATTCCATCTAAAGAAAAATCGCAGCAAGCCAATATTTCGGCATTATACATAACACAAGACTGTAAGGAGTATTTTTTTTTGGTCTGCAAATATGTCTCTCTCTATTAAACTTTTTTTGTTTTTTTACATTATAAAATAATTAAATCATTGCCTACGTCACACTCTGTCCTTCAAGCCCTCACATATGTTCTTTCTTTATCTCTTTGAAATTTAGTCTCTTTTTTCATTAGTTGTTGTTGTTATTATGTGTGTATACGCAGTTTTTGTTTTGTTTAGTTTCCCCTCCCTTTCCTTTCTTTCTTTTGACATTTCTATTGTTAATGGTAGGGAGGAATTTTACATACTATAACTGAATTATGCAGTTAAGAATATATTTCCAGGTACATGGAAAGTTCTAAAGATGTATTCTAGGAAAATAACTGTCTATATAAAAAGAGAAAAACAAACCTCTAAAACTACTCAGTTAACATGTTCGGATGACAGAACAACCAAAATATGATACATACAATTGACTAAATTGAAGCAACTCAACTTTATAGTGTAGTTTCCCCTTGGAAGATATGATAGTGAATGATACTGGTTTATGTCAAGTGCAAGGGAAACTGATATTCACATGGTGATTTGTAGTTTTATATGAGTGCATGAATAAATGTGTTATGATTGTGCTCAGATAATTTTCACAAGCTAGTGATTATGTTGTAAAAAGGTTATGTGTGTAGGGGGGTTACCTGAAAATTTAATTCACATTGTATCTGAATCAATTGAAGCAATCTTAGGCAATTAATTTAAATCTTATCATAAAATAAAAATAGAAAAAATTCAATTACCATCCCTTGATTCAAGTACCTCTTTACATAGAATCTTCAAGGATTTATTTAGGATTCCATTTCAAATGGATTCTTCCTGAGGACCTCAATATAGATACATTCTGCATTAAATATCCACCCACAATTTTTTCTTATATCTCCCAGAGAAAAAGCTATTTTGGTTTGACATATGACTTATAACACATAACCTAAAATTATACTCTTTGTCAAAGCCTCTTCCTTTCTTTCTCGCTTTGTTCAGGTTTTCATTTGTGTGCCTTACCTTTCAACATCCTCAGACCACTGTCACTAGCGGTAGCTTGTTTCAGTGCCTGCTCCACTTGCTCTCGGCGTTTTGATTCAAATTCCAAGGCTTCCTGAAGTTTCCTCTTAGCTTTTTTCTCCTTTTTCAGACGCTTTTGCATTGTACCTAAAATGTGGAAAAGTAGTTTGCAAATGCATGCTTAATGCAGCATTATTGCCGAGTTCAATGATACAAGTATACATTGTATATCTATTCAAGTATAAAAGCAAAGAGCCATAAATGTAGCAGCTAACATATGATTAGCTTCTTTTGGTGTTTTGTTGACTGTAGTTGAATGACAGCATCGACTTATCTTTACTGTCACATTTCTAATATGTATGCTCTCTCATACACATGTATCTATACAATGTGGCAGTTTGCTGGAAAAATTATTGTCTAACGTCATACTAAATACATTTAATAATTGTTAAATACTTTATAATTCCCAGAAGAAATACTATTACTCATTAACTTATTGCTAGTCATATTTCAAAATTCAAAAAATAAAACACGTAAATACTCATGAAGTATTATTTTATTATTTAAAAATGAAAGTAGCAAGTGTGTCTTTCTCTGAAATGTTACCAATTGAAGCAATAAACAAATGGTTATTCATTTAAATAATTCTGTTTCTCTCCCTCTTTCCTTCCCTTCCTACACAGACACACAAACTCATATACATCTTAATGAGAATAACTTTCCGCAATGATTATATAAGCAAGCTATAGAACTGCAATCACAGTAAGGAGGCTCTAGTAAGCAGAAAGGCTAAAGAAGAGCTAAATAACAATTCCAGCTCAGTTCTCAGAGCTTTCTATCTCAAAGGGAAACTTTATTGCCATAATATAAACATTATTTCTAAACTCTGAAAACTTAATATGGTAGATCCTCAAACAGTAACATTGGTTTCCATGAGAGTATTGGTTCACAACTTTCTATGTCATTTTAAAAGTACATTATATAACTAAGGAATTATATGATATTTAAAAATGCTAAAAGAGTTTATACATATACTATATTTTAAACAGATCAAAATATTGGAATAGCCTAGGTTTTAGTTCTAGTCATTTTACATACAAATATGTTTTCAATAACTTGAAGAGAGTCAGTTACCTAAATAAATTATTGTATAACTGAAATAAAAATTCAGCAATCCAAGATGAAAAGTAGATTTTTGGAGACAGAGACAGAAAATATTCTTTTGTTTTTTTTTTATGAAAGATGGTTAAGTATGGTTGAAAATGAAGTTATTTTGCTATTGTAATTGTATTCAAATGATTATTAAAATACAACATTAACAAATTATTTCAATCAGAAAAAGTAGTCTACTGAAATATAATCTTAGAGTGATATTACTTTCAAGTTGTTAGTAAGAACTTTCCGACCTTCCTTTTCCATGATATACACTTAAAATACACTTAAAAGTTGAGTAAACTAGGTATGAAATATTCAAGAAAGCAAAGAAAATTTAAATTATTTTCTGATTCAGTTATTGTTACTATGATTTATAGAAATAAACAGTTTCAGAATATTAGCAAGGATAGTATAGTAGTTTTCGATAATTACATTGGTTATTACACATAAAGTTTAAAATAGTGCTTGGCACATAAACAGTTAATAAGCAAGCATTGGCTTACATGAGCAGTAGTATTTTTGATAGTAAAGATGGTAATCATTGGTAGTAATTATAATGATAACAGCAGTGGTATTATTTTAAAATGTGCTAAGTGTATTAAATATAAATAAGTCACAGGAAATATCATAAAATACACAGAATGATCCTATCTTGTTAAAAGACAATAGATGTCAATAATAAATGTATCCAAAGGGTCTATTAAAAGTTAGTTCACAGATATTAGGATGTGTGGATCTCTAAAAGTTGGAAGCTAATTTTGCTATATGCAGTAGATTTTCATGAGTCAATTTAAAAATCTTGTATCTATATATATATATTTCATGTTTGATGTTTGAAGAATAAAAATGTTCCCTACTAAGGAGTATAAATTAGCATGACTAAATATGATATTTATTTCATAGGCTAAATATCAGAAACATATTGCTTTCCATACTTTTAAAAATATAGTTTTGTAGCAATGATATTTTAAGAAAAATGTTTAATTCTTTATAATACCGTGATTAGAATTCTAATTTTAACCTGAACAAGTGATTCCTAAACCTATAGGAAAATCTTCTAAGACCAATTTCATGTTACAGTATAATACTTAGAAGTATTAAATTTACTTAATTTTACTGAGCTGGAAGGATCCTTCAGTCTTCAGTGAAATGTCCAGATGATGAAGTCTCTCCTGCTTGTGCCTCTGCTTTCACACTTCAAGTTTACTACTCATTTTAGGCTTTCTGATTTTTCCATAAGAAAGGTAATCAGGGAATGGAAAGAAACTGAAACTGGTATTATCTACTTTGCTGCTTTTTAGTGTTTTAAGGTAAATGTAAAGCTGTGGGAATTATTTATAAAGTTTAATTTGAAAGTTTTGTGTGGTATTCAAATAGCCTAGTTCAGTTTATATAATTTATTGTGTACAATTTACACTTCTAAAAATTAATTCTATTTTGAATAATACAGTATTCTTCTATTTTCTCCTCTTTGTCTCCATATATTTCTGTTATGATAGTTTAATCCTTATTAATATTGTTTGTATGAGAGCAATCTCATTTGGAATATTTCCTTGCTTTCAGTCTCACATCAATCCTAACCAGAGGCTCAGAGAGTTTGCTGTGAGACTGTGTCTCCTAGTAATATCAGAAGCTATACCCTTAACATCTCACCAACTGACTGCCCAAATGTGAGCTGAACAAAGACAAAACCAATGGACATGCCAAAGTTAATGGGGAAAAGCCCAGGAGGCTTCAAATAAGTATGTGACCAAGGAAGTCTGGAAGTGAGAGAGGTAGTCTTCTCCATGGAAGAGCACATAATTTGGTTGTTCAGTGCCTAAAAAAACTTACCAACAAGTAACATTATATAGACAGAACAGACTATATAAAGAAATATATATGTATACACATATACTTACATGTACACAATAACAATTAGGGAAAAACAAAGCCATGAATTAGAAGGAAAGTTTGGAGGTTGATAGGAGAGGGTTTAAAGAAATGTAATTATATTATATTCTCAATAATAAAATTGAAAAAATTACCCCATCATTAGAGTGAACTATGCAATATAAATTAAGTCAGATTTCTCCCTTGCTTACCTTCTCATATTTTTCATTGTTTGCAAGGTAAAATCCAAGGTCATCATTTACACAGTAAAAACTTTTCTTCATAATTTCACTTGTACTCCTGCTGTGGGATGCCTTTCTGTACGCTGTGAATATGTGTTGCTCTGACTGGTTGATAAATAAAGCTGCACTGGCCTATGGCAGGGCAGGATGGAGCCAGGCAGGAAAATCCAAAGGAAATAGGAAAGGAGAAAGGAGAAGCAAGAGATGCCATCCTGCTGTCCAGAGAGCAGCATGCAATGGCACACAGGTAAAGCCACATAACACGTGGTGATATATAGATTAATAGAATTGGACTGAATTTAAGATATAAGGGCAAGAAAATTGAGCCATAGGCCATGGCCATGCAATTGGTAATTGATATAAGCCTCTGTGTGTTACTTGGGTCTGAGTGGCTGCAGGACTGGGCAGGACACAGGACAACTTCTGACTACATACTCTCATCTTTCTGCATCATCTCTCACCACGCAATTCATTAAACTCAAAGCTACTCAAAAATCAAACTGTATACACTCACTTGTGTACAAAGATTTTTGTTTGTTTGTTTGTTTCCATGCCTATACTAATACACACTATTTAAACTGAAAGCTTGTGTGCCCTTTATATTTTTGACTATAAGGCTCAGATTCAGGCATGAGCTTCAGAAGATATTCTTCTGTGTAGCTTTGCGCCTTTCCTGGAACTTGCTTTGTAGACCAGGCTGGTCTCGAACTCACAGAGATCCACCTGCCTCTGTCTCCCAAGTGCTGGGATTAAAGGCATTTTGGAATTTTCTGGTTGTGTTAGGCTTATACAATGTAAATCCTTCCATGAGAGAGACTGAGTTTGATTTACTTTATAATTATATAATATAGCTCCCTGTCTAGGGAAGAGTACATATTTTATACTTAAGACCAGGTGACAAAATCTATGCCTAGATAGAATTTATCACATTATGAGAGAACCATAGCTATGCATGTTTTCAAATCTGTAACTAGTCCAAATACAAATGTCGTTCATTATCTCTTAGAGAAAAACTTTCTTATTACTATGTGACTTAGTTATTACTATTTGTTTTTAGTTTGTTATTCATTTTTAGCAGTTATAGGCTATTCCTGCAAGCGTTTCTATAAGCAAGAAAATCATTTCCAACACAATATTCACCATTTAATTGAACTTGTTCAACTTACTTCTGCTTTGAAGCTCAACTGCAAGTTGTCTCTCCAGATTTTCTCTAATTTCTCTTTCTCTGTAGAGCTCTATTCGAAGTTCCTTCTTTTCTTGCTGAATCTGCTTCTCCTGGATGCGAGCATTATCCAAAGCCACTTTCAGTAGACCCTGTCAATGTACAGCAAATGACAAGCAGTTCATCTTATCCGTTTTGAATTCTCTAATATGAAATAATTTATGTAGGTGCTAATGTCTTGTATTACATTTATTTTGTTTATAGAAATATTGTTGACCTGAATGTTGGTCAACAGAGTCTCCACGGAGGACAGACTATCAGCAAAAATGAATGGTCCAGGGAATCCAGGGGACAATGCCTGTCCAGGAGCCAACTGGATCTTGTCCAAGGGTGACTTCATCATTGGAATTTGAGTTGGTACTTCTTCTGTAATGATAAAATTAATGTCAGATGGTTCACAAATTAACAATCTAAATGTTTCACCAAGTCATTTCTAATAGACGTATATAACAATTTTCTTTTTAAAACTAAATTATGGGTGCTCAAATTTTGTCATATCCATAAACTAGACAACCAGATTGCTACCAACAGATGTATAAGTTGGCATCTATTTCTTTCAGCACTGTCTGTCTATGAATCCACCTACTCATAGAGTACCATTATTTTTAATGCCTTCATTGATATATAATTTGCATACAATTAATATATTTTAAATACAATTTTAATTTTTAGTAATTTTACACAACATATTAAGCATGACAACAAATTCATCTCAGAAAATCTCAGTTTTTCCACAATATTCTTCATAACTATGTGCAAATAGTCTCCATTTGCCATCTAGTCCTTGGTAATGATTGTTCTACTTTGTCATTAATGTTTTCTCTTTTCTCAATATTTCACATAATAGAATCATAAAATACATGGCATTTTTGTCTTAAGATAATTTTACTTTAGCATCATATTTTTTAATATTTATACACGTGTGGTCATTTTTCCTTTTCAATACTAGGTGGAATTTCTTTGGGTGAATATATCAACTTTTATAAAGATATTATCTACTTTCTGGAAATGGGACATTTTTCAATGTTAATTCTAAATTTGAGGATTATTATCTATAAGAACACTGCAAGTCCTATCTATTCTCACCTTTTATTTTTAAAGAATCTTCTATCAAGTCTTGGGCACTTAAATGAGATTATCTCTTAGTTTCAGATACTGAACATCAACAGAAATTTTTATTAAGGTATTTCAGAACTGTTTAGGAAAGAAATATCCAGAAATAACTGGAATTTCTTTTTTTTCATGAGAGCCTAACAAGTTGACTATCTATATAAATTATGGTTAACAATTTCTTAAGTGAATTGCATGAAATATGTAGTAGTTTTCTCTATATCTGGAATAGGAACATTTTTTTTTAAATTTCAAGTAAAAGTTCCTAGGGAGGTAATCTTGGGATTAAAACAAACTCAGTTACTAATATTTCAATATTCATGCACAGAATGTCTTCTATCATAAGAGTTCAGTTAATCTATTCATTGAAGTTTCTGAATTTCAGTAATGACATAACAAACTTTGAAAAATACATTTCTCTGTGATTATAAAATTCTGCTAGTAAATATATTTGAAATAGACTCACTAAAAAAAACTAGGTTTGAATTAAATTTATATCTAACCAGTTTCATATGGTATATAAATAACTGCACTACAAAAAGTCTATATTTTGGCCTGTTTTCTGTAGATACTAACTTGTCACATAGACTTCACTTTTCAGTTGGAAGCATATGCATGTGTATATATATATATATATATATATATATATATATATATATATACATATATATAGTGTGTGTGTGTGTGTGTGTGTGTGTGTAGAACCTTGAAATCCAATGATTTGACAGTCGTCCTGTTTTGTTGTGGAATTTCTTGTGTGGGAAGTTGTGGCATATAATGGTAAGAATCTTCATGGGAGTTTTTTTAACGGGACAGCATTATCTCTTAACAAAATGCTCTATTTTTATTAATAAATTATTTTTATGGTTTTTTCAGATAGGGTTTCTCTGTGTAGTTTTGGTGCCTGTCTTGGATCTCGCTCTGTAGACCACGCTGGCCTCAAACTCACAGAGATTCGCCTGGCTCTGCCTCCCAAGTGTTGGGATTAAAGGCATGCGCCACCACCACCTGGCCTATTAAGAAATTTTTTATTTATTTTACATGCCAATCACAGATCCCCTTCTCTTCTCTCCTCACACTCCCCTCCCCAAGATTACCCCCCACCTCTCCCCCTCCCTCCTCTGAAAAGGTAAGGCCTCCCATGGGGAATCAGCAGAGCCTGGTACATTCAGTTGAGGCAGATCCAAGCCCCTCCTCCTGCATCAAGGCTATGTAAGGTTTCCCATCATAGGTAATGGGCTCCCAAAAGCTAGCTCATACACCAGGGACGGATCCTGATCCTACTGCCAGGGGGCCCAGTAAGCACATCAAGCTACCCAACTGTCTTGCTTATGCAGAGGGCCTAGTCCAGTCCCATGGAGGCTCCACAGCTGTTGACCTAAAGTTCATGAGTTCCTACTAGTTTGGCTTGGTTGTCTCCATAGGTATCCTAAATCATAATCAGATTGGTGAATACTCTAACTGCCATCATAGAGCCTTCATCTAGTAACTGATAGAAGCAGATGCACAGATCCAAAGCCAAGCACCATGCCGAGCTCCAGGAGTCCAGTTGAAGAGAGGGAAGAGGAATTCTATGATCAAGGGGCATCGATATAATGCTCTTAATATTAAGTCATCTTTATGTTTGATATTTTTCTAAGATCAATAAGGTCTACAATGTTAAGTGATGGTACTAAATAATAAGGTTTTCTACGTTCAATGAGCTGTGTGGATGTTGTTTTTGGCAACTGGGCTCACAACTCGACCACCCCTGGACCACTGGCTACAAAAGACTGCCAGTTCAGACTTGATGTCCTCCATTTCTAGGAGTCATCACTAGGGTCACCCTCATAGATTCCAAGATGTTTCCACTGCAGGGTTCCCACACTATCCCCCAATTCCAACTGTCTCTCCCTGCATTCTCTCCCTCTATTGACCACCCCACACACCTGATACCTTCTATCCTGTCCCCACCCACCCCCAGTCCACCTGAAAAATCTACATAGGTTGAGCTGGTGCCTGGATGAAGCTTTTACCACTATGTTCTAGTCTCTTTGGCATGAGAAGGTACTCTAAAGGATACAGAGAGAGAATCCTGTATACCAACCCATCCACAAAAACCTCAATCTACAATCTGTCCTGCTGGCACTATGTGCTGGCCCAATGGTGGGTGTAGAACTTTTGGGAGTTAAACCAATGTCTGGCTTAATTTGAGGCCCATGCCATGAAAGGGAGCCCATATCCTATACTGCCTGGATCTCTGAGAACTGGAGATGGCATAGCCCAGAGACCTAGGGTAGAACCAAACAAGACTGGTCAAATAATAATAATAATAATAATAATAATAATAATAATAATAATAATAAATTAAAAACCAGTGATTCCTAATGATATTCTCCTATACTCATAGATGATGCCTTGTCCAGTTGTCATCAGAGAGGCTTCCCCCAGCAGCAGATAGGAATGGGTGCAGAGACCCACAGGCAGTCATTATGTAGAGAGATAGAGGGGAGAAGAGAGAGAGAGAGAGAGAGACAGAGAGACAGAGACAGAGACAGAGACAGAGAGAGTCAGTACAAATTGGATGTCTCCAGTGGGTACCTTCCATCAGAGCTCGAGGAACCCCACAGTAGCGGGGGAGGAAAGGTTGTAGGAGTCACAGGGCATGCAGGACACTAAGAGAACATGACCCAACAACTCAACTAAGCAGGGCTCACATGGGCTCACAGAGTTTGAAGTGGCAAGTATGGGCATACATGGGTCTTGACCAGGTCCTCTGCATATATGCTATGACTGTTAGTTTGGGACTCCTAACAGTGGGAACAGGGGTATCTAACTCTTTTGTCTGCTCTTGGGACTCTTCCTCCTGTCAGGTAACCTTGTCCAGTCTTGGTGTGGAGGATATTGCTTTGTCTTGTTGTATTTTCTTTTGTGGTATTTGGTTGTTGTCTCTTGGAGGCCTGCTCTTTTCTGAAAGGAACTGGAGGAGGAGTAGATTTGGGGAGAGAGGAGGTGGGGAGAAGCTGTGGGGTGTGGAGGTAGGGAAAACTGTGGTCCTGAAGTGTTGTATGAGAAAAGAATCTACTAAAAAATCAACTGTAACTAGAGATGTCAAAAATTAAAAAGTTCCTCAAAATAAATTAATAAAAATATAACATAAATAAATAAAGTTTTCAATTATTTGAATTTTAATATAAAAAGCATATTTATCTGTGGTGATACATTTGTAATCTAAGAAATAAATCTTGCCTGAAGATCAGAGGACAGATCCAGCCACAGAGTTAGACATAGTCAGGCAGTGATGGCACACACCTTTAATCTAAGCACTCAGCAGGCAGAGGCAGAGATCTGTCTGGACTTCTATGAGTGCAAGGTCACACTGGGATACATAAGATTAATCCAGTCTAAAAGAGAAACAGAGCCAGGCACACACCTTTAATTCCAGCACTTGGGATCACACACCTTTAATCCCAGCACTTGGAAGGTTGAGACAGGAAGTGATATGTCTTGGCAGAGAAAGGAATATAAGGCAGAAGGAGACAGGAACTCTGGCTCTTGCAGATGCTCTGTCAGGCAGAGGAGTGACTGGTGAGGTAAAAGGTGGTGTCTGTGGCTTGCTCTGCTTCTCTGATCTTTCAGCTTTCACCCTGATACCTGACTCTGGGTTTTTATTATAAGACCATGTAGGATTCTTGCCTATCAGCCTCAAAGGTTTTTATAAAATCCAAAAATACCATATTAATATTTTTGACAGAAAGTTACAACAATTATTTTCTCAGACATTGTATTTAATTTTTGTCTAAAGGACCATTTTGATTATAGTTACATGGTGCATGTTTTCTATAGCACCTTTTGGCTATATTTCCATAACCTTTAATTATTCCAATATGAATCATGAAAATTGTTGGGAGGTGGTAGCACATACTTTAAATCTCAGTACTCAGGAGGCAGAAGCAGGAGGATCTCTGTGCTTTTGAGGCCAGCCTGGTCTAAAAAGTGAGGTTCAGGAAAACTACTACTGTTACACAGAGAAATCCTGTCTCGAAAAACCAAAAATAAATAAATAAATAAATAAATAAATAAATAAATAAATAAATATCAACCCTAATGTCTTTGTAGATTTTTGAGACAGGGTTTGGCTATGTAGCTCTAGATGGTCTCCAATGCTCCATCTTTCTGCCTCAGCCTCATGAGTGTTCAAGAGTTGTGACTTCAGGCACGCACCACTATGCAAACTAACCTAAACATTTTATTGAATCTCAATCCCTCCCTCCTCT